AAAATTAAGATTTTGTTTTTAATAAAATATTTGTAAATTTTACAAAATAGAGATGGAATTTATGATGAAATTTGATTTATGAATTTGTTGAAATATCAATGTCTTATAAACGCCCGGAAATCTGAATAGTAAATAAATTAAAATTCTAATAATTATATTTTTAGCATTTTTATAAAAATCTCATAAAAACATTTTGAAATTTCAATTTCCAATACCATATGACTTTGTAAAACTTTAAAATATCAATAAATACTCCAAAATTCTTAAAATTTTAAAGTATCAAAAAATCTGAATAAACACCTTCCTTACATTCTTTCACCATACTTTGGATGACCCACAAAACCAAATGAGTCCTGCTATGAATTACCAATAAATAAATAAATAATAAAAATAAAAAATAAAAAAAATTATGCAATGCCACTACATTTAGTACCATACAAAACAAAAATTTACAAATTAAATGAACAGATCCTCACCATCAGTATCCTATTCTACATAGAGATTTTGCCACGTACTGTTGGCTGAATAAGTAAGTAAGACACACTTTAATCAGCTCAAGGCATTATGAAATTTGTAAAAAAAAAATAAAAATAATAATAACTCAGCTAAATAAATATAACATAAAAATGATATGTAGAAATAGTAATAGTCAAATAATAAAATCAATGAAATGATATACTTCTATATTCTTGCATCATCTTCCTAGGTTCTCAAAATCTAGGTGGAACTCCTTGATCAGGCAGCGAGTACTATAATCACTATAAGAAGAACAATGCCAAAGATCACAAGTAGTAGGCAAGTCTGCAGAAAGAAAGAAAAATATGAGAAATCCAAATAAATGACATTATATTCCTCATTCACTAAGAAAAACGAACGCTGAATGACAGTTCACATAATGGTATATAGCGAATACGTATATAGAAAAGGTGAGAAAAGTCATACAAGTAATTTGGACAAAATGTAAGCAAAAGGCATGCTAGAATTGAACAAAGTGTAAGCAAAATGGTATATAGCCAATACGTATAATCACCATAACATCATAGACCAATGCTCCATCGAAACATGCTTAATAATTGCATATGGTCTATGTTGAGGACTAACCAGAGATGAATTTGACCGCTGGGTTTTAGCTGCTTTGACCAATTGGGACTTTCCCTGAGCAGTTGCAGCATGAGCACCCTCAATGTTGGACCCAATATCATCTATGAAAATAAATCAGATCTCTGTGTTATTTTTTGTTTAACCAGTATATTTAACTCTACTACATTGTGAATCATTACCTATCATTGTTCCTTGCTCGTGAACTAGTACAGCAAGATCTTTGAAAATTTCATTCACTTCACCAATTTGTTGTTGTATCTCTTGTATACCCTGCTCCCTTTCATCTATAATGGCCTCATTGAAGGCAATCTCATTGTCCAACAGCAAAACCTCCTGTCTGCAATATAATCACTTCGAAATAAGCAGAGCAAAAAAAACATATTTATGAAACCATTACACAAGCAGAGCAAAACTAACACTCAAAAAAGTGGAAGCGTGATATTCATTACATGAAGGTATGAGACACCATTACACAAGCTAATAGAAGTTATACATGTGCTGATTACTGTCACACACAAACTACAGACCCTGTAGTTAACATGATACACCAAATGTCATAACAATTGTGGTCCTATTAAAAACTAATATATTTATTTGAAACACATTTGCAGAGTGCAGAGATCAACATCAAAGTCCCACGATCACATACCTTCTAGATTCAAAAAGAAGAGCTCGCTGTTCTGGAGTCTTATCTGAATTTACATCAATTTCAGTAGCCGTGTAGCTGCAAGGCAAAATAATTTCAGAAAATAAGCTGCAGCCTAAACAAAGTAGGCAAAGCATTTTTTCACCAATTTTGGAACCAGTTTACCATAAATAAAATCCAGCAACTTTTTTCCCACAAAATAATTCAAAACATAACCTAGCCACTAAACTCGAAAGTAGAGCACCTCAATCATGGTTACCTAGAGGGAAGTACTGCTTGAGGGATAAAAGTAGTATATGATGTCTCCTTCTCAGCTGCAAGCCGCTGCACCTTTTGTAACTCCTTTAGAACAGCTTGGAAATCTTTTGCGAGTTTAGCATCTGTTATTTTCTTGTTTGTCTGCAGAAAATGTGAATGGCCGTCACCTCATGGTCACACAGCACAAGTTTGCAGGTTTTGTGACAAGAATAAGATGGCTCCCAAAAGCATAATGTTATTCTTCATGTAATATAAACAACCAAATACAGAAACAACTAAATTGCTTTGTTTTCAAGTAAAACCAGAACATTATGGAAGGTATCAAACCAGGGGAGACGGGAATGAACATAAAAATGATATATATTCAACTCAAAAGTCAAGCAAACTTACACTGACATCAGCACGATGGTCCGTTTCACTAGCTTGCTTAAGTTTAGCTGAGGTATCCTTCACCAACTGTCCAATATGCAACCGAGTTTTATGCCTGCAGTTGATCAAAACCAGCAAAAGTCACTAAAATGTTCACCATTTACCTTAGTACTATGAGCAAAAATGAACTTCAAAATCTCATGACATCTAGAAGATCACTGAAATCTTCGAAGAGCTTAAAAATTGATACAATCGAATTCTACCAAATGCATCTACACAATCTCGTGTCCAACACCATAACTGAACCTTATTTGTCAGTACATGCCTTCAACAATTGATCGTTTCTGGCAAATGAACAAAAGGAGATTTGATCTTTGCTCACATACAGCAGGTGAGATAAAGGAAACGTGAAGTTATACTTTATGGGTGATTTTTCACAAGCGATTGTTCTTAAAAATTGCCTCAACTTGCTCTGATTACACAACTCAAGAGAAGGGTCAATTATGCAACCATCCCCCATCAATCAAAAAACTGATAAAAATGAATGAGCTAACGTATGTCTGTCTTGAAACAGCTCAATGGTTGATCAATTCATCACAGGTATTTCAGCAAAACCATCAAGCTTATCAACGCAACGCAAAATTAACAGCAAGTTTTCAGCATCTCGAACTATTGACCAAGTGAAGGCAATGCATAAGCATCCTACTGAAATCTCAAACTCCCTCTCTTTTCTATGTATTGAAAACAAATGGGACCTAAAATCACAATGCAACATGACACCCACCAAATTCAACAGAAGTCAACTACACGATTAAATGAAAACATAAATCAGCCAAAAGACGGATCGTAATGAAAACTGACAGCTTTTCCCGGAGCTCAGGCGTGTCCTTGGGAGTACCGATGGCGTTAACTAGGCGCTGGAAGGTGGAAACCGCCGTGTTGATCTGAAATATACCGGAGGCCACCGCCTGGGTCGGGTCCTGCTTCCCATTTACAAATCCCCCCCTCCGGGTCCCACCTCCCCTTCCCGCTTCAAGATCTTGAAAGCTCATTGAATTCTCTGCGTTTTTTCCTCGTCAAACCCTAGAATCGAACACCTCGAAACCGTATGCCGATTGCCGACCCTAACCAACCACCGCCGGCGGAGGATCCAAGCAGGAGCTAATATTCCGGCTGTGACGGCGAATTGGAGAGAGCCAGGGCGGATAATTCGGGAACGGAGGAAATTGCGGACGAAGATGGGCGGGAAATGGGGACAAATTATTGGAGGAGGTAAAGAAGGGAAAATTGAATTAGGACTCAAAACAGACTGACAAAATGTATCCCATGCACAAAATTTGTCGGATCAGCCCAATCATTAGTCATAATGCGGGTCAACATGTTATGTTTTTTAAATAAAAATAAATATTTATATATTTATGTTTATATATTATTTTATAAAACATATATTTCAGTTTGTATATATAAATACTAGTTGCCTACCTGAAAATTAAAATATGCAACATATGTCAATGTTGATTAAAATAGGCAAAATAGTACGTTATATCACGACCTTTTACCATATTGCTCAAACATCACGACATTTGGACTTTGGCAGGGAATATCACAATCTTTGATTTCTTCGCAAAACGATACACGAAAGTCAGAAACCGGCCATCGTTTATACCCAATGGGGGAAGATTTGTAACTATTGAGAACAATAAGGAGTATTTCGGAGGTGATGATACTTTCAGACTTTTGTGAAATGATTTTAAATAATGTAATGTTGGTTGGTTTTCGACTTTCATGTATCGTTTCTCAAAGAAATCAAAGGTTGTGATATTCTCCGCCAAGGTCCAAATGTCGTGATGTTTTAGCAATATGGTAAAAGGTCGTGATATAACGAGCGATTTTGCCATTAAAATAAAACTTGGAACACCAATTTTTTTTTTAAAAAAAAAAAAATTGGATTTGCATTCCAATTAAATACCATTCTACTTGCTCCAATTGAATATGTGAAAGCGAATATTAATTGTTGTGTCCAACTAGGCTGCAAATGAGTCGAGCGGCTCACGAGCCGTTCGCGAGCGCTCGAGTCAAAGTTCGACTCGAGCTCGAGTTTGACCGAACTTAAGTCGAGCTCAAACGGCTCGAGCACGAACTCGAGTCAAGCTTGAGCCCATATTTTGCATTGTCGAGCGGCTCGATATATACATTATATTACTAAAATACCCCTTATATATTTAAAGTGGTAATTTCACTTACAAATTTTCGAGCCGAGCTCGAGCTCGGCTCGAGTGTTCCTGCTGCGAAATCACAGGGCTTTATAGCCACGTAAACGGCTGATGAAAGGGCTATTGTATTTTCTTATCGAGCTCGAGCTCGAACCTCATAAATCGAGTTCGAGCAGCTAAAAAAAAAAAGACAATCCTGCTTGGTAAGGCTAATGCTCGACTCGAGTTATTGTATTTCTTATCGAGTCGAGCTCGAGCCTCATAAATCGAGTTCGAGCAGCTAAAAAAAAAAATCATGTTTGATAAGGTCAATGCTCGACTCGGCTCAGCTCGTTTGCAGCCCTATGTCCAACCAATATCCATTAAATTCATTACTTACAAAAATAGACATTGTGTTACTAGATTCTGCAAAGACATTGTATAACCTAGTTCTTATTAATTCTACAGCGTTCTTACAGAACAAAAAAAAAAAGTCGAATTGTACAGTATACACTACAAACATACAGACAAATATAATTTACCGACTACTAGTTAATCTAAGAGTGTACTCCCTTCTTTTACAAGCACTTAAAGGCCACCATCACCTCTCGAAATTCGAAGGTCTTTATCAAGGTGTGTGATTAGAAGCCACGACTTTGCACGTTCACTGGGAATCCGAATCTTTAGAGGAGGCTGACCAGAGATAGTTCGCCCTATGCCCTCAAACAGCACGAGCGATAAGTTTATGTTTTGACCGAAAATATTCACGCTTTCCGGAAGATCTATGCTCTACTTGATATGGTACTCAACGTGTAGAGAAAAAATAAAAACATGTCGATGACATTTGTGTTAAATTAATTTTTCCGTTTTTCAAACTTGTATAGAATTTTTTGACATTCGATGTCAAAAAAGCGTGTGAAGGCATAACTTGAGAATCGTTTTACCAAGCAATTTAAGGGTACTTTAATATTGAGACTCATACGTAGTTGGTCATGTGGGAGGACTTTCTGGGGATATATTTTTTCAGAAATGTTTCTGTTAAAGTGCTTGCAATCCACTTGAAAAGAAACACTAAACTGCAGCAAAATGAGTTGCTAAGACATATAAGGTGAAGTGCTAACTATCACAACTTTTCTTAGTACATTTTGCAAGACCGCTCAATAGAAAATTCTTCTACAAAATCCGATGGTCGCATAGAAAAATATATATGGTGCAGTATGTTACACGCTGTGTGCGCGTAAGATTACACTCTCATTTCGTTGTAGTTTTTGTGGTTTGTTGTGTAGCTGTTTCGTGAGTCTTCTTTTTGGTTTCTAGCATTGTCGGGATTCTAGGCGGTCGTCAGACCTGTCCTCTCATTTTATTCAGCTTTTGATTGTCTTTTTCAAATCGAAAAAAAAAAATAGAGAAAAAGATATAATTAACATGCTGTCAATTCCACACAAATTGTTGAATGTTACTACTAAAAAGTACAAGACTTTATCATTAACGATGTAAAATGAAATACTTCCACATGAAGGTGACACAAACCAAGACTGATTTTTTTTTTTTTTTTCTTTAGTAAATTCAGCTGGGGTTGTTTTAAATATTTTTGATTCAGAAGTCGGGCACAAGATTTGGTAGTGCCTATAAAAAAATATATAGTTAGGCATAAATATAACGTAATTAATCCAACTAAATTTAAAAGTTACAGTTTTACACACTCAAATAATTCCACATAATTAACAAAACTAGCATACTCAATCCACTTAAAAAAAAAAAACTTGTATAAATAGTTTTAAACACCTTAAAAAAAACTTAAAACTTGTACAACAGCATATGAAAATTCCACGTAAAACAATTTCAATACATAATTAAAATCTAACGTATAACAATTTCAATACATAATTAAAATCTAGCATATAGATCACACGTAAAAATTTCTACATTAACTTGGTTACATTTAAAAAAATTCTGGGATGCATAAATTCATTTCCAGAAGTTAAATTCGTTTTTTGTATTTTAATTATTTTATTTTGCTTTTTTTGATTTTTTTTGTATATATTTATAAATAGATATTTATGTTAGTTTTTATTATTTTTGAGAGAATATTATTATTATTATATGGTTTCCTTTTGTTAATAGGATTCTTACTTGGAAAGGAAGAAATAAGGTGGAATTTATATCTGCGAAATCAACAGGAGCAAAACATTTTGGAGAGAAGAGAAAAACAATAGTGGCAACAATGGAGTGTTGGGCTCAGATGCGCAAATGTAGAAGATGTAAATTAAAATATCGAGGTAAAATGGTGAATAATAATCCCAATCCCAGCAACTCAAGAATGACAAAAGAAAATCTCTTGCAATAATACCGGAATAAATCTTTTCTGATGTGGAAGTTCAGATTAAACTGCGACCACAGAGCATACTAAGAATATCCCAAATAAATAAAATATGCAAGAAATAAGACACCAAGATTTAACGTGGAAAAACCTCCAAAATAGAGGAATAAACCACGGGACAACCTCCGAACAATTTCACTATATTTTCAAGATAATTACAATATCTTTTCACACTCCCTTTACACTAGAAATGTAAAATATAGTGACCCAGTGAGACCTCACTCCTAAACAAGGAATAATAGAGTTGATACCCAACCCGGTGTATTTTACACACACCCACAGGATTTACTCAAACACTCTATTTTTATCTCATTGAAAAATAACACTCAAAGATGTTATTTCTTCTCTCTTTTTCTTTCTGCTCTTGGTGTACCTTTCCCTGATGAAGACCCCCACTATTTATAGTGAGGATATCACATAAAACCTGTACCATATATTGCTACTTTTTTTTTTTTTCGGTGCCAACCAAACTTGATTGCTTTTCATGTGCATAAGATGCCTTTTATTTTGTTTGTTAGTGCCAACAAAAATTGGTTGGATCTGACAATTCTCCCCCTCCAGCCAAAGGGTAATATTCTGCAAATCTCACATGCATTCCATGTCGATCAACTCGGCACAAAGCTGAAGCTTTCCTCCTGTTACAACTTTCGTCATCATGTCAGCAGGATTCTTGTCAGTGTGAATCTTTTCCAACTTGAACAGTTGTTCTTCCACTGCTTGACGTAGCCAATGATATCTGACATCAATGTGCTTCGTGCGAGAGTGGTACATTGCATTCTTACTCAAATCCAATGCGCTCTGACTATCACAATGGATATCGTACCTTTCCTGCTTCATTCCCAATTGCTGAAGAAACCTCTTCAACCAAAGTATTTTTTTTCCTGCTTCTGTCATTGCAATATACTCTGCTTCAGTAGTCGACAAGGTAACAGATTTCTGCAATTTAGATTGCCAAGATACAGCTCCCCCTGCAAATGTAAACACAAACCCTGAAGTAGATTTTCTACTATCCAGGTCACCTGCCATATCCGCATCTGTATAACCTTCAAGAACTGGGTTTCTTTTTCCGAAGCTCAAGGACTTATTTGCACTGCCTTTTAGGTACCTTAAGATCCACTTCACAGCTTCCCAATGATCCTTCCCAGGATTGGAAAGATACATGCTAACAATTCCAACCGCGTGAGCGATATCAGGTCTAGTACACACCATGCCATAGCTTCTTTTTCTTCTTGACTCGTAGGACAACTTTGTTTGCTGAGTTTGAAGTGATTGGCCAACGGTGTATTGACCGGCTTAGCCGATTTCATGTTGAATCTCTCCAGAATCTGATTCACATATCGTTCTTGCGATAACCATAACTTCTTGGATTTTCGGTCTCGCATGATCTGCATGCCCAAAATTTGTTTCTCAGGGCCCAAATCCTTCATTTCAAAGGACTTTGCTAATTCCTTCTTCAAATCACCAATCAGCTTCATATATT